CTTTGCCTGTTTGATGGTTCGTCGGAGTCATCATTAGCGGGATTTTATAAGCGTCCGGGTTGGTTCGTAGGTTAGAGTCCCGTTCCTTGAAAGCGGCAGCTCACCCTTTAGCTCAGTGCGGATGTTTCCTGTAATCAATGCGTCTGGTTGGGGGTATGTACGTACGGTTCACTGTGGGGGACGGACATCATCGATGCAACTTATCGATGAAGCCAGTGACTGATGTGGGGTGTACTCCTCAATGCTGTGAGAGAATCCCGGAAATATGTGCCAGTCGGTGCTCGCAAAAACAGTCCTGTGTAGCTTAGCATCTGCGTCATCTGACCATTTTTATTAACCGGTCACTGGTGCTTCCGGCTAGTTTTTGCTTATAACGGGAATCAGGAGGATAGAGTTATGGTCAGATTGCAAACATGGAGGGCGAGGGAGAGATTGTATGCGTCTGATGTGTGTGGAGTAAAGGTGGTCTAGAGATTTTTTCCTAGGGTTGACATTTAACATGCTGGTAGAAATTAGGTAGAACGGATTTAAGTTTCCTGCATTAAGTCTCCGGCCACTAGGAGCGCTGATCTGGAATGAGCGTTTTCCTTTGATAATTAAGCTTGACAACTCATTCAGGCAATCTTAATGCCAGCTGGTTTGTGGTGGTAAATAGACCAGCTTTGAAAAATAGTAGATGAAAACTTCTCTTGGTTAAATGTGTGGTCTACAGATTATCCTAGATACTTACCTCAGGCGAGCAACACCTTCGAGACTGTCCTTGGTATTGGTTTTGTGCACAGTGGTGTTTCAAAATACACAGACCGCCACCCCCTTGTCTTCCGGAGTCAGCCGTTTGTCTGCCGATGGTAGAGTATAGCCTGCTGCTGAATGTTATCATTGTCGTCGTTCAGCCACAACGCGGTGAAATATATATTACAGTTTTTAATGTCCGTTGGTAGGATAACCGTTAATCTTAAAGCGTCACTGTATTTTTAAAAAGATTGAACGTGGACTAATAGATTGATGGAAGAGGCAGTTTACTCGCTCGCAGTCGGATCCTTACAAGGAACCCGATCTGCGTCCCACGATATTCCCGTCTCTTTCTTCACGCGAATGACGGGGAATTTGGGCCTGTCGGTGTCTGTTATAATTTACATTTAAATTTAATCCCAGGTATCCTTTTAAATGGTGGGGTTTCAAATGTCTCCGGAAAGGTTTGGTGAGTGACTCTGCGTACTGGCGTCGTGAGGGAGCTTGTTCCACCATTGGGGTGCCAGAGCAGCGAACAGTTTTGACTGGGCTGAGCGGGAACTATGCTTCCGCAGAGGAAGGGGAGCCAGCAGGCCAGAGGTGGATGAACGCAATGCCCTCGTTTGGGTGTAGGGACTGATCAGAGCCTGAAGGTACGGAGGTGCCGTTCCCCTCACTGCTCCATAGGCAAGCACCATGGTCTTGTAACGGATGCGAGCTTCAACTGGAAGCCAGTGGAGTGTGCGGAGGGAGGGGGGGTGACGTGAGAGAACTTGGGAAGGTTGAACACCAGACGGGCTGCGGCATTCTGGATGAGTTGTAGGGGTTTAATGGCACAGGCAGGGAGCCCAGCCAACAGCGAGTTGCAGTAATCCAGACGGGAGATGACAAGTGCCTGGATTAGGACCTGTGCCGCTTCCTGTGTAAGGCAGGGTCGTACTCTCCGAATGTTGTAGAGCATGAACCTGCAGGATCGGGTCACCGCCTTGATGTTAGCGGAGAAGGACAGGGTGTTGTCCAGGGTCACGCCAAGGCTCTTCGCACTCTGGGAGGAGGACACAACGGAGTTGTCAACCGTGATGGCGAGATCATGGAACGGGCAGTCCTTCCCCGGGAGGAAGAGCAGCTCCGTCTTGCCAGGGTTCAGCTTGAGGTGGTGATCCGTCATCCATACTGATATGTCGGCCAGACATGCAGAGATGCGATTCGCCACCTGGTTATCAGAAGGGGGAAAGGAGAAGATTAGTTGTGTATCGTCAGCGTAGCAATGATAGGAGAGGCCATGTGAGGATATGACAGAGCCAAGTGACTTGGTGTATAGGGAGAAAAGGAGAGGGCCTAGAACTGAGCCCTGGGGGACACCAGTGGTGAGAGCACGTGGTGCGGAGACAGCTTCTCGCCACGCCACTTGGTAGGAGCGACCGGTCAGGTAGGACGCAATCCAGGAGTGAGCCGCGCCGGAGATGCCCAGCTCGGAGAGGGTGGAGAGGAGGATCTGATGGTTCACAGTATCAAAGGCAGCAGACAGGTCTAGAAGGACAAGAGCAGAGGAGAGAGAGTTAGCTTTAGCAGTGCGGAGAGCCTCCGTGACACAGAGAAGAGCAGTCTCAGTTGAATGACCAGTCCTGAAACCTGACTGGTTTGGATCAAGAAGGTCATTCTGAGAGAGATAGCAAGAGAGTTGGCTAAAGACGGCACGCTCAATAGTTTTGGAAAGAAAAGAAAGAAGGGATACTGGTCTGTAGTTGTTGACATCAGTGGGATCGAGTGTTGGTTTTTTGAGAAGGGGTGCAACTCTCGCTCTCTTGAAGACGGAAGGGACATGGCCAGCAGTCGAGGATGAGTTGATCAGCGAGGTGAGGTAGGGGAGAAGGTCGCCGGAGATGGTCTGGAGAAGAGAGGAGGGGATGGGGTCAAGCGGGCAGGTGACTGCAAGATTTTATCTGGAGAGAGAGGGGAGAAAGAAGTCAAAGCATAGGGTAGGGCAGTGTGAGCAGGACCAGCAGTGTCATTAGACTTAACAAACGAGGATCGGATGTCGTCAACCTTCTTTTCAAAGTGGTTGACGAAGTCATCCACAGAGAGGGAGGAGGGGGGGGGAGGATTCAGCAGTGAGGAGAATGTGGCAAAGAGCTTCCTAGGGTTAGAGGCAGATGCTTGGAATTTAGAGTGGTAGAAAGTGGCCTTAGCAGCAGAAACAGATGAAGAAAATGTAGAGAGGAGGGAGTGAAAAGATGCCAGGTCGGCAGGGAGTTTAGTTTTCTTCCATTTCCGCTCCGCTGCCCGGAGCTCTGTTCTGTGAGCTCGCTATGAGTCATCAAGCCACGGAGCTGGAGGGGAGGACCGAGCCGGCCGGGAGGATAGGGGACACAGGGAGTCAAAGGATGCAGAAAGGGAGGAGAGGAGGGTTGAGGAGGCAGAGTCAGGAGATTGGAGGGAGAAGGATTGAGCAGAGGGAAGAGATGATAGGATGGAAGAGGAGAGAGTAGTGGGAGAGAGAGAGCGAAGGTTGCGGCGGCGCGTTACCATCTGTGTAGGGGCAGAGTGAGTAGTGTTGGAGGAGAGCGAGAGAGAAAAGGATACAAAGTAGTGGTCGGAGACATGGAGGGGAGTTGCAGTGAGATTAGTAGAAGAGCAACATCTAGTAAAGATGAAGTCAAGCGTATTGCCTGCCTTGTGAGTAGGGGGGGGACGGTGAGAGGGTGAGGTCAAAAGAGGAAAGGAGTGGAAAGAAGGAGGCAGAGAGAAATGAGTCAAATGTAGACGTAGGGAGGTTGAAATCCCCCAAAACTGTGAAGGGTGAGCCATCCTCAGGAAAGGAACTTATCAAGGCGTCAAGCTCATTGATGAACTCTCCAAGGGAACCTGGAGGGCGATAGATGACAAGGATATTAAGCTTAAATGGGCTAGTGACTGTGACAGCGTGGAATTCAAATGAGGAGATAGACAGATGGGTTAGGGGAAAAATTGAGAATGACCACTTGGGAGAGATGAGGATTCCTGTGCCACCACCCCTCTGACCAGATGCTCTCGGGGTATGCGAGAACACATGGTCAGACGAGGAGAGAGCAGTAGGAGTAGCAGTGTTTTCAGTGGTAATCCATGTTTCCGTCAGCGCCAGGAAGTCGAGGGACTGGAGGGTAGCATAGGCTGGGATGAAGTCAGCCTTGTTGGCGGCAGAACGGCAGTTCCAGAGGCTGCCTGAGACCTGGAACTCCAGGTGTGTGGTGCGTGCAGGGACCACCAGGTTAGACCACCAGGTTAGCCCTTGCTGATGGAAGGAGGTTTTCACTCAAAATCTCATGATACATGGCCCCATTCATTCTTTCCTTTACACGGATCAGTCGTCCTGGTCCCTTTGCAGAAAAAACAGCCCCAAAGCATGATGTTTCCACCCCCATGCTTCACAGTAGGTATGGTGTTCTTTGGATGCAACTCAGCATTCTTTGTCCTCCAAACACGACGAGTTGAGTTTTTACCAAAAAGTTCTATTTTGGTTTCATCTGACCATATGACATTCTCCCAATCCTCTTCTGGATCATCCAAATGCACTCTAGCAAACTTCAGACGGGCCTGGACATGTACTGGCTTAAGCAGGGGGACACGTCTGGCACTGCAGGATTTG